TCCAAGTATAAAACTTAGTTTAAAAAGCCTGTTAATTTTGTATGGCAGAATAATTAATAAAGCAACATACTGCAAAAGTAATCATATTTTGGAATAATCCTATTTTAAGTAATGAAATCTAGCAAAAAAGATACTAAATCTTTTCAAGTGTTTCTGTACTTCCTACTTTGCAAGATACTTGTGTGTATATCACTTCAGCCTATAAAATCCATGACATTTATATTTATTTTTTAAAGGGATGTCACTAGTTGCACTTACAGTGATGAGACTACTGCATTACAAATTCCTCCATTATCACAAAGGATGTAAATTAGAATTTTTAGTACCATTTTACTCATTAGAAAAGGTTGGTTGATAATCTACCTCCTCTGTAAAATGTTTACCTAACAAAATGCGTAGTAGGCTAAAGCTTTTAAAGACTGCAGCTGCTTCCCTAAATCCAGAATATGTTTAAACACAGCTCCGTGTATCTTTCATGTTTGGGATAAAGACACCATCTTTGGAGAAGAGGGGGCTTTGGTTTGGTTTGACCAAAGAGAGCACTAAGTTCAGCACAGCAGGCAGAATATTATAATAAATCTGAGAAACAGCATGGGAAGCAGATGCAGTGTTAACTCCACTGCAGTTCATTTTGATTTGAAATTCTGTTGAATAAAAACTGTTTATGGTGTGTCAGTTCAGTTAACTCCTCAGGTGAGCTCATATGCAGAAAACAGATAAAGATGTTTTCTTCACTCAGATATCTTCCCTGCCCATTTAATAAAAAAACCCAACATTTATTTTTGCACACACACACATCTCTCAATGATTTGTAATGAATAAGGCATCAACAGGCACACAACACCTACAGAATACAAGTGATTGTGAAATTCTGGCTGCAAGGTAACACAAGATAATCTCTTGCCTCTATCACAATCAAGATTTCGGATGCTTACAGCCCTAACATCCACAGTGTGCTTTCATATTAGATGAGGAGATCCCTAGGGGCTGGTAAAGGCTGTTTGAATATGGGATGTTTGTTTGGGATAGACGAATCAGTTTCTGCACTGACAGTGTCATAGGTGAACTGGAAAAAGGGAAAAACACCTAAATTATTCTTGTGTGGTTTCCTTTCCAAATTCATCTGGCCAGGCGTAGGTAACAAGAAGGCAAAGCACTCAGCCTTTCATCTTCTGAATCCAGCACTGCTTCTTTGGGCTCCTGTCCGAGACTGCACGGCTCCTCTCATTCAGGACAAAACTCCTCTCTCATCCAGCACAAAAGTCCCCATTCAGAGAGCAGGGCAAATGCAGAGACCAAGTAAACACCGCTGTGGTAATGTATTCCTTAAAGTCATACTTTACCTTATCTATGAAAGGCCTTATGGTATTGAACAGTAAAAATCTCTTGGGGTACTAAAAACCACAGTGTCCTAACTTCCAAATTCTGCATGTTACCATCTGATCTCTACAAAACACAAAACAGCGAGTATGAAAACAAGAGAAGACTATTGGAAAGGAAATCTTTGAGAACTGCCTAAACTCAGCTGTAGTTGGCTCCCTTCAAGGTTTTGTGTTTGTTTGGGTTTTTTTTTTTTCTTTTTTCTTTCTCCTTTTTTAAATTAAAAATAATTTTATGGGACATTATCAATGTAATCTGCCTCCAACATGAATAAAAAAGATTGAAAATCATAAATCTGTTAATTATGGGGAGAAGAAAATTTCGCTTTTTGTAATAAGAGTGAACAAATGTGTTGAATTTTAAGTAGGCATGTTAGATTCAATGCTTATCCTTCTCACGAGACAAGAGCAGACTTTAACTGACACTGATACAGATGTCAGTTTTGTGGGTCTCCCTTTGTCCATTCTGTACACTTGCCATGCATATATTAACCATATTCTTCAAATTATGCTTTGGTGCATCTCATGCACTTTCTGTTTCAATTTATATTGGCAAAGCAGTAGGTGTCCTATGAAGTACAAACCCTGCTTACTTACTTCTCTTTCCTCTTAGGTAACTCTCTTCAAAAGCTATTTTTTGATCATATTTCCTAAAACAAGGAAGCCTGAATTATTAATACTCCTAATACAAATAACCGTATAGAGTCAAAAATACTTGTGAGGTGAAAAAACCCCACCTGTTAGGAATGCCAGCAAGTATGGGGACAGTGAGCCGGTAAAAGGAGAAAAATAAAACATGCATCATACCTAATTTGGCATGCATACACACTTCATCTAGCTAGTAAGTGCTTTAATTTAGCTAGTAAGTACTAAACTAAGGCCTGGAGTCTGCTTCAGTGGGTTCAGAAATTATGGCAAATCCCCCATACAGTGTAGGAAAATGATCCCTTTTGGTCTTGGCAACACCACTGGAAAAGACTAATCTTAAAATGTATACAAATGTTTCTTTTTAAAAAAAATTTGAAGCCATTAATTTATCAAAAGTGTACTAAAATTCGGAAATAAAATAACCCATGTTTATATTCCATATCTGTCTTCACTCAGGCCAAATACAGAAATTTATTAAACTGCAAAATGCAGACTCATAACCCAGGTGAATAAATCCTAACACTGGACAAAATACTGGTTGGTTTCTTTCAGATATCCTCAGTAAAGACGGACAAACTACAACTTAGTCCTTAACATCTGTTGCTGTGAGTGTGCAGTTTCTTCACTGATAAGGTTCCCCAGTGTGTGTGTGTATAAATATAAATAAATATATATATATATGTAGTTCATCTCACCACAACTTTTAATAAGGAATCCCAGCAGAAAGTTAACTCCAGGCTCAGTACAGCTTCTCAGCTTCTTGGGACCTCTGCTCGTTTGCCAAGTCATTTTGAGAAAAGTTGGCTTTTTGGCACTGAATTTGTAGAACAGAGACTTCTCAAACATGCGCTTACACAGACTTGTTCCTAAACTCCATTTTTCCATTCTTGAATTTGATGTAGTATCTTGAGCAACAATGTAAGAATTACTGATAGGACAAATTCTATGCCAATTCTGACCCTGCTTACCCTCTTTATGTTAGTAACCTAAATGCTCATCTTCTATTATTC